GATTGAAATGCTTTGGCATGACCTTAAGAGAGCGATTCAACACCAGAGGGCCACCAAGAATATTGCTTCAATTAATGCACTATATAAGGTAATGGATGAGTTGAATGGTCCAAAATGACTCCAGATCGTTGTGCAGGTCTGATCTGCAACTACAGGAAACGTTTGGTTGAGGTTTTTGCTGCCAAAGGAGGGTCGGTATCCACGTTAGGGGAAAGTCCAAAGGTTCACATACATTTTTCCTCCCTGCACTGTGAATGTTTACATGTTATGTGCAATTAAACCATGGCAACATCTAATGGTTTCTTAAGTAGCTTAGTTACTTCACCAGACTGTGCAAATTCTATTGTTTGACTTAGATGACGTTAAGAGCACATTTTTTGCCCAATTCATGCAAATATCCACGTAATCCCAATTGGGTTCACATACATTTTTCTTGCAACTGTATTTAGGTTTATTGAGAATCATCTCATTAGTATTTTTATGATATACGGGACATTAGTCCAATGAATCCCTAAAGGAACCACACTTGCTCTCATTTTAAGAGGAATTTTTGGATCCCATATTTGGGCACACTATAAGGAAGCTTGAGTGCCTGAATGCACAATAAGAGACTTTCATATTACAAACAACAATTTCTGGACTTTATGGAGAAGTTATCTCTTTATTCTACTGCCACATGCATACTTATGCCAATTTTTTCATCAGTGGGAAAACCCTGGTTTCAATTATGGTGATTATATTTCATTCATCCATCATATTGATATATTTAAATCATCATTTTATTAATTTATTTCATTTATTGTAGAATCCTTACCACTGTAAATGTTTGGATACTGGCCCACTGATCTTGGCCATATACTGGGGAACCACAGCCTATCACTCACATGATGTTGTACATCCGCAAAGAAGGTAATAAGATGCAGCTTTGTTAATTTATTGGCCTCTACTCAAGCATCCATTTAGTAAAAGGTTTAATAACAGTGTCTTAGCCTATTTCATATCTTCATGTATTCATTGTGAATTATTCATTCAGTTTCCAGGAATTTTATTATACATACTTTGACTACTCATAATAAGGAACTGATAAAAAAGAATATGTACTTATATCTGGTTTCTTTATGTGAACCTTTCATCTGATGAATACAGAGGAAGTCTTTGTCTCCTTTATCTGATTCACTATCATGCATGCAGCTAAGTGGAAGACGCAGAACATTTTTTTGTTTTTATATTTTTTTTATTTTATTTTTATGATTGCACACTGTTCACCATGATAAAATGTCTACCTTTTTCCTGATCTATGTGATCTAATAAATACAATTTTGCATTCACTAATTTAGTGATTATTACTCTGCATATGATTTATAAAAAAAACACTTTCTGGCAGGTCTGCACTAGTTAGCTGCATTTTGTTTTCATAAGCTTTTTGGTTTAAAAATCCACACTCTATATATGAAGTGAGACGGGGATATTGAAAGATCAGTTGATTACACCTAATTATGATAGCAATTTTTAACTTTATATTAACCCCCATCAGTGTCACCCATCAGTGCCCAGCAGTTCCGCTAGTCAGTGCCACCCACCAGTGCCCATCAGTGCTGCCCATCAGTGCCAATCATTGCTGCATATCAGTGCAGCAGCATCAGTGCCAGCTCATCAGTGCTGCCTATCAGTGCCACCTCATCAGTGTCGCCTATCAGTGTCGCCTATCAGTGTCCATCAGTGTTGCCTATCAGTACCCATCAGTGCTGTTTATCAGTACCCATCAGTGCTGCCTATCAGTGTAGCCTCATCAATGCACATCAGTGAAGGAGAAAAATTACCTGTTTGAAAAATGTTATAATAGAAACACAGAATAACTTTTTTTTCCAATTTTTTTGCTTTTTTTTTTTGTTTATAGCGCAAAAAATAAAACACCCAGTGGCAATTAAATACCACCAAAAGAAAGCTCTATTTGTGTGAAAAAATAACAATTTCATATGGGTACAATGTTGCATGAAAGCGCAATTGTCATTCAAAGTGCGACAGTGCTGAAAGCTGAAAATTGGCCTGGGCAGGAAGGGGGTATAAGTGCCCAGTAGGCAACTGGTTAATCACCACTGGATTTTTTTTTTTTTTTTTGCTAAATAAACAAAAAAAGATCAAAAATTTTGAAAAAAAATACCAACACATTTTTCTTCATCTCTGTTGTTAAATTTTGCAAAAAAAAAAACACCTTTCTTCAAAAATTTAGGTCAAAATGTATTGGTGAAAATAATCCAAATCCACAAACCATGGTATATATATCTGACAATCGATCAATTCGGTTGTACTGACATTTCTTGAGGCACAAAAATGCCAGGATGGTACAAATGACCCCCCAAATGATCCCTTTTTGGAAAACAGACAGCCTACGGTATTTAGTAAGAGAAATGGCGAGTTTTGTAAGGTCATCATTATTTGTCACAATTTTTAGAAAATTAAGAAATTAAATAAAAAATGTACACAATTTTTTTTTTACATATTGCCACCAGTCTAGTACAGCGCTATCATATAACTGGTGTGGCGGTGATCAGGGACACTGACTGGTGACAGTATGAAAAAAAATAATAATAAGTTTTCATTTTTATTCAGTTATTTTTAATATTTTTATCATTTTTTTTTTCTATTTTATGAATTTTTTTAACACACTGTGACCAGAGCAATACAATGTTACCATAGTAACACTGTACTACTCTGGGGAAGTGATCAGGATTTTTTTTTACCACATCATAATTGCTTATACCAATGTATTTAATTGATATAAGAAACCATTTTTACTGAATGAAACTGATTCATTCAGTGCCTTTTGTTGTGATTAGCTGTGATTGGCCAAAGCTAATTATATGGTACAGATTGGTTGTGGTTGGCCATGTCTGTACCATGTTATCGTTGTGAGCATTCACAGCTAACAACACAATTGTATCCAATGGATGGCATGAAAGGAAACTATCCGTTGTTTACATTTGCCATGTGATCTATTGTGATTGGTCACAGCGATCACATGACACTGGCAGCGGGTCGGTGTAATGATTAGTCATTGACTTTGTGCGGCGGACACAGCCAGTGACAGATTACACCACTGCACCACCCTGTGGCCGTGTGTGAGGGGCGCCTTCTGAGAGGACGTCATATGACACTCACTCAGAAGGAGGAAAGTCCTGCCCGGCTGTCAATCTGCTATAGGCCAGGCGGGAAAGTGTTAAAGTGATTGTAAATCTCAGACATGAAATACGAATATGGCATATCCCACTATAGTGTGTACTTGTCTCAATCCAGAGCACTAAATGTAATTTCTGTCTGCGACTTCATTCCTCTGCTATCTGCATGAATCACTTCTGACAAGTTTTCCTGACAACAGAAGCAAAATAGGGATGGGGAGGGACCTCCAGCAGATTGACAGCCTCAGCTCTGTTCCTGTATGCTGTGTGAAAGGGGGTGGATATCTTCCCTCCAATCAGCTCTCAGAGCTCTCCTCACTGAGCTCTGCTGAGTGTAACTTCAGCTCCCTGTGCATGTCTTTCTGAACTCTCAGAGAGGCTTTATAAATTCAGCATTTTGCACAGATGTAGAGAAGGGATTACTGCAGATAAACAGGTACAACTTATGTAGGGGGATTTGTTTCATCTCTGTGTATAACCTGGGGCCAGTCATTTCACTGAGTATATGGAGGATTTACAACCACTCCAATTTCAACATGCTGCAGAGAAGGACCCTTTGCTAAGCAGTAGTCTTAATGCAGAGATCTGACACTTTCCTGTTGACTCTGACTCAAAATTCTGCAATCTACAATGGCAATCATTTCACTGATTGGAAAGTTCCAGCTCTGACTCAGCAGGCTTTTCTACTCAGGCTGCATCTGTTTGTAAAGAAAAGGAACTGCAGGACTTTGCACAATATTCGTTTTGATACGACATGAACGTATTTAGCTGATTTCTCTTTTGCTTTTTCCCTCTCGAAGGATTAGGAACTTTTTTTTCCCCGCTGCAGCAAATTGGATCATGCTTTATTAGGTTTTTTTCTTTTTTCATTCCCCTGGATCAGCTGTGGGTATAGGATTGTGTACATAGAGGTTTTCTATGTGTGTGTGTGTATGTGTTTTTTTTCTTTCTAGGTTGAACTAGATGGACTTATGTATTTTTTTCAGCCAGAATACCTAAAGCTGGGGTTTAAATAACTCTATGCCCTGTCTTAAACTGTGTCTTGTTGGCCAAGTAAGTTGCATGAGTCTACCAATCCTTAGTTTTCTGATGAACAGCTATTTCTCCAACCAGACTGCCGGGAAACTAACTTGATTTTTGAATAGCATATCCCCTGTCACTGTAGAGAGTGCATGACACCTTTAAAGTCCTATAGATCTTTTTCTCTTAGGTTTCATATTTATTTATATCTCATTTGTGATGTTGGTACCACGTATGTTATGTATGTTACGTATGGTACCACGTACGTTGGAATAAGTATATGGATCTGCCCATTTACTTTTTGATCACTTTAACCACTAGCCTACAGGGCACTTATACCCCCTTCCTGTCCAGGCCAATTTTCAGCTTTCAGCGCGGTCACACTTTGAATGACAATTGGGCGGTCATGCAACACTGTACCCATATGAAATTTTTATAATTTTTTTGAGACAGATAGAGCTTTCCTTTGGTGGTATTTAATCACCTCTGGGATCTTTATTTTTTCTTAAACAAACCAAAAACCACTGAAAATTTTGAAAAAAAAAATGTTTTTTCTTAGTTTTTTTTATACAATTTTGTTAATAAATGATTTTTCTCCTTCACTGATGTGCGCTAATAAGGCTGCAGTGATGGGCATTGGTAGGCTGCACTGATGGACACTGATAGGTGGCACTGATGGGCACTGATGAGGAGGCACTGATAGGTTGCACTGATGGGCATTGACATGCATCACTGATGGGCACTGAAAGGCAGCACTGATACATGACACTGATAGGCAGCACTGACTGGCACTGTTAGGCGGCACTGACTGGCACTGATAGGTGGCACTGACTGCCACTGATAGGTGGCACTGATTGGCATTGATAGGTGGCACTGACTGGCACTGATGGGTGACATTGAAAGGCAGCTCAGATGGGTACTGATATGTGGCATTGATGTGCACTGGTAGGCACTGATATGTGGCATTGATGGGCACTGGCACGTGGCACTGATGGGCACTGGCACGTGGCACTGAGGAGCACTGATAGGTGGCACTTCTGGGGCCACACTGATCATCAGTGCCCTGATGATCAGTGTACATGTCCCCTCCGCGGAAAGCCGATTACCGGCTCTCCTCTCCTCTGGAGCTGTCAGCGTGACAGCACGAGAGGAGAGAAATGCCGATAACCGGCATTTCCGTGTTTACATGTGATCAGCTGTGATTGGACACAGCTGATCACATGACCGAGCCGACATCTTTGGCTCTTGCCGTGATCCGCTGTGTCCGAGGGACACAGCGCACCAGCGATCGCTGCGCTGCCTGCTCCCTGAGCCGCGCATGTGCAATGAGAATGGGGGGACATCATATGATGTCCTATCAGAACGAGAAAACCACCTTGCGCCCGTCATTGTACTATAGGGGCGGAGGAAGGTGGTTAAGGGCTTGTTCACATCTGCCTCAATAGCCTGTGTTTATGTGTCATTTATTTAGCAATTTTAACGCCTCATAACCGACCTTCAGTGCCTGCCATGAGTATTACAATGGCACCACACAGTGCTGTTCATACAGGACTGGTACCGTTGTGTTGTAAAAAATGAAGCAGCATGTCGCTTTCTTCAGGCATCGATGCTCGTCAGCTGCCTCTATTGATTTCAGTGGAGATGCTCTACCGTACCTTAACAGCACCTATAGCATTTATGGTATATTAGTGAAGCATTTAAAAGTGTTAGCTGGGCATTGGGAGAGACAGTGGAGGACATTGGGAGAGAACTAGGACAGAGCAGCTCCAGCCACTGCCTGGTAGTACAGAACAGCTGTGTGATAACTCCATTTGCTTCTGTGTGCCAGGAAAAGCATTGAGACATCAATACTGACAGTGACAGGCAGGAGCTGATACATTGAGCATTATTGCCAGTGGCAAAGCTTTTTGATTCAGCAAAGCTGATCTGGATCAAGCCAAGTGTCAAAGAGATCCAAATATACAAATTCATCTTGCAGAGAATTCACAAAAATGTCTGATATCTTACCACATCCTAACCATGCCTTAAATTAGATCATTTCCTCTACAGCACTTCTCTTTTAAGCACTTAACAATAGAAAGCAACACTTTCATGGGCATTTGTCAAGCATTCTTGAAGCTTTTTCAATACTTCATAAACACAATGAAAATACATCATAAATATATCATAAATACTATAGGAGTGGTAATGAGCATTGCTTTGATCTCCATAATCAGCACATGTGGGAACAAGAACTAAAGAAGGTCTCAGCTATAGGGTGCCCTAAAAAAGTATGACAGAGTCTGGCCGAATTCTGGCCATATTATTTAGCAGAATCCTCAACAGCTACTGACATCTGACCTCTCTGCATTATTTGTGCCCACCCTGGAGCCTCATTTCTGGATGCTTGGGGGGGGTGGCTTGGGTACTGGAGATGTCTAATTGTCTTAAATTATTGGTCACAGACAAGCAGCAACTATTTTATGTTTCTTTTTTTTGTTTTACTGTACGTTGTTATGATTGTAGGCCTGACTGCCAACTTGCTATGTTTTTCACTAAGATACTCCTGTGTGGGTTAGTGCCTGAGGATGTACATGCTCATGTTCAGTGTATTTTTCTTGGAAAAACAATAAAAAGGATTAAGAAAAAAAAGAAGGTCTCAGTTGAATGGGGGCATTGAGAGAGAAGAGTCCGACTCTAGCAATGCTCTCTCACTGTTATTTTCAACTTCTTGGTGAAAGAGAAAAACTCCTTTTTTTAAAGTGGAGCTCCTGGCTTCTCCCAAATAATTAAAAGTCAGCAGCTACTAATACTGTAGCTGCTGATATTTAATATAAGGGCTCTTACCTGTCAAGAGATCCAGACATGTGCTCACCCGAGCCAATTCTACAATCAGCTTCAGGGGCAGGCGATCTTAAGTAAGTGAAACCAACAGTGAAGCTTTGCAGCTTCACAGCTGGCTTCCTACTGTGCATTGTGAAGTGCTCTGAACTCTGTGAATGGTCCCCGCAGTCTTCTGGGACCTGTGAAGTGTCCCTTCCAGAAAGCTTTGGGGGAAGGAGGGAGGCCGAAATTCCAGCTCAGATTGCGGCAGCACATCTGATTGGAAGTGGGAGCAGGTACGTGTCAAAACCAGGTACCCACTCCCACATCCCCCGCAGTGCAAAATGTGGCAATGAAGGAGGGGAGGGGGGTGCAAACAAGTAGAACTCCCCCTTTTGGGTGAAGTTCTGCTTTAAATTGTGTATTTTTCCAGTCTCCCTTCAGCATCGGTATTTATCACTGTTACTTACTGATTGTTTCTATATTGCCTGAGCTGCAGCAGAATGTTGTACAATGTCAGCAATCGATAAAAGCAGAAATGTCAAAGTTAAAATTACACCACTTACCAGCCAAATCAACAGACTGAGAATGTAATTGTTAAAAATGACCCCTGAAATCTATCCATAGCTTGAGTTTTCAGTCTACGGAGATAGCTGCTATGAGGTATCACTCTAACCAGGTACATTCTGCTTATTTCCTTTGGGAATTGCTGGAGTTCTCCGCTACCTTTCCACCATGTCTATGAGAGAATCTTATCTAGTCATCAGATAAGGGCCTTTGATATGACCTTGCTAAATAACTGATCAGGTGCTTTCTCATGAATGGCTGCACATACAGAGGACAAGGGTCCACAACAAATTCAGCAGTGAGTTGGATATTTACATGTATATTTTTAATGTAACAAAATCACTTGAAATATTATATGTAACATTTTTAAGCTTAATCAATTAATTGGATTGGACATCCATGTTAAATCCATCCTCTTTTTTTCTATATACATCATCTGCTGCTCTTGTGACAAGTGAATGATGTGAAAATCTGGAAATGGTCATGCAATTCCTCATCAAATGTTGCTTTCAGTGTTGTGTGATCTCTCATCATATAGGATTCAGTCCAATAAATATTTCAAAATTTCAAACGTATATTGCCAATAACTCTGATAAATCCATAGAGGTTTTTCATAGAAATGTCACACAGGTATTGAAAATTACCAGTCTAAGCCATGGTTCATTATTTATCAGCTTCTGGTGGTTTATCCAATCTGCAAAATGTCAGAAGCACAACCAACATGATAATAATTAACTGACGGTGACATTGATGTTTGGTTGACCATAGTTGGATGTCTTATTGTGAATGGTAGGCAGTAACACACCTAACTCTTATTAGATCCTGCTACAATTTTCTTTCTATGACTAGGCCAACAAATGAATGTAGTGCTTGTTCTCCATAGAATGGGAAGGGAATGATCATACAGATTTTATGAGTTACTCCTGTAGACCTTTACTGGCACCCTTGAATCCTGCCCAATATACAGTACTATATTGTTTACCTTTGCTTTTTCTGAATAGCTTCCAGGACACAGCAGAGCTTGAAAACTCAATACTCAGCATCATGGCAGAAAACTTCTCTTCTCTTTTTCAAAAGTGGTGCATAGGTAGTGCATGCTTTTTTTCCCTATCTCGGCAACATCTCAGCTGTTGGAGAGAGCACCAAGCATGCAACAAGGAAAGACAGCAAGCACTGCACATACACCACTTTTGAAAAGAGAAGCGTGTTGCCGTGATGCTGAGTACAGATGTCCAAGCCCTGTTATGTCCCAGAAACTATTAGGGGAAAGTGAAGGTAAACAAAATGGAAGTATATTGGGCAAGCTTTGGTGGTGCCAGCAGAGACCCACTGGTGGACCAATCACTTTATACTGTATTTTGCAAAAAAGGCACAGTGCATTATAATACTGGATACTTTTCTATGTAGTGCTACTTGTGTAGGAGCCGCAGGACTACCGTCCAGGTTTCCCCAAAATCTTCGCCTTGCAGTCAGGCACACAGCACATTCACTCATTTTCTTCCATGACCAGTCTAGGGGTGTTGTTTTTGTTGTTTTTATTTTTGGAGAACCTAGATAATGATGAGGAAAATGAGTGGGATTCTCCAAAGATAGGAACTATGTACACTTGAGGACTTTATCTAATCTTCAGGGCAAGCTATAACAGAGTCCATGCTTGAATCAAACAGTGGACTTCAGCTTTAAGGCAGTAGTATAAGTATGAGGGGCGTTCAAGTCAAACCGGGACTTTTAATTTTACAGGTATAAAAAGTGGTGGTACAACATTTAGTAGTAAATGGCAAGTGTGTACTTTTACTGATAGGCAGCGCATATGCCGCGGCCATTCCAGAGACCATTAATCAAGATGGCAGACGTCAGTGTTAGTGGAACAGTGTGTGGTGATGAAGCTTCTTGTGAACGAAGGCATAAAACCCAATGATATCTATTTCAAGCACAGAATGGTTATGAGATGCTCAGCTGCAGTAAGACATTTGAATGGTGTAAGCATTTCAAAAATGGCCATGACATCAGTGACAATCCTGGCCGTGGCGTTTCCCATTCCCAGCTGGTACTGATAAATCCTTCTATGTCGAAGCTTGCCAGGTTTTAGTTAAATGCTGGGATAAGTGTATAAATGTTGCAGGGGAGAATAAATGCAGTTTCCACTCCTTGAAATGTGTTCTTTTATTATATAAACTCAAAAGTCCCAGTTTGACTTGAAGGCCACTCATAATAGTAGTGGCAGTAATTTGTTTATAGCCCCAAAGCAGTGTCCCTTTAAGTAGTAGGACAGGTGGACAAAGCTCTTCGGAACACCAGCTGGTGACTCGCAGCTGACTTCCTAGCACCAGATGGAGTTAAGTAGTACAAAGTCTCTAAGATCCTTTTGGGATGTCTGTATTCACAAGGCCCAAGAGCAGCTGGATGCATTCCTCCATGATACCAGACCAGATCTTCAGTAGACAGCCCCTCAGTCAGCAAGGCAGAACCTGCGTCTCAGCATTCAGACCCTCAGGTTGCCCACCTGAGCCCTACAGCAACAGATGCCTGGGAAAGCAGGCTGGAATAATCCTGGACAGGAAAGACCTAAATCTCAGTGTGCTCTCTGAATATAAATAGTTACCCAGCATGCCATCAGAGTCAGTCTGTCTGGGATAGACTGGGGCTGTATCAATATTCATGATGTCATCTGCAAAGCTCTACACCCTCCATCCTGAAACTTTTCAAACCTTCTAGATGCAGAGGGGGCTATCAGCTTACTAGCAGCAATGCAAACAACAAAAACAACACCCGTAGACTAGTCATTGAAAGAAACAAGCGAATGTGCTGTGTGCCTGGACAAAGATTGTGGGGAAGCCAGGACAGTATACCAGCGGATCCTACGGGAGTAGCGATACATTTGTAAGCCTATCTACCAATGGAGACACCTGTTTCAACGA